ATCGTTTATCTTAAATCCTGTTAAACGGTATTAAAATTAGAAAAATTTCAAATCGCTGTAATTTTAAAGATAATCGCTTCCTGTCAACGAGCGAACGATCATTAGAAGCGTCTCATTAGAACTTTCCTCTTTAAACTGGTTTTTGATTCACATCGATGCGACTTCCGAGATATCATCGTGTAAAGAGAATTTTTAATCGTTTACTATTTCTATTCTTATCTTTTACTCGGATCTCTCGCTCGCACTGATCTATCCCAACTTGGACGAATGATAGACCTGAAAAAAACATAGTACATTCCTAGAAGAACGCATTTCCAGGAAAAAAATATATAAATATCACTGAATTCGTTCATAATTTCTACACTGTTGAAAATTTGAATCTTTATATCTCGACAACCGATCGAGATCATAAATAGTATGATTTGCTCTATTTCCTGTGTAAGTATTAACGACAACATTTTTAGTTTCTTTTTACGTTTTGACGTATATGAAAAAATTGAATTGAATCATTTGTGATTTTGCATGAATGTAATAATCTATTATTGTGATATAAAGCATATAAGGACATCATTTATATATTTTGTATATTATATTAATTGAATATTTAAACAAATTGTAGCTAATAATTATTACTGATGCTTAAGAGGTATAATTTTTTACTTCTTTTTAAATACGCGAATAATCAAGATTCAATTGATTATAATTATCTGTAATATCAATTTTTATCTATCTGTACATTTACATCTTAACCGTCACGTCGATGAAAGTTCAATATGGCCGTTTGCACGAATAATGGTCGATCAGATTTATTTTATGGCAATTGTAATTGCTAAGGTAGCCACCTCGTTAAATCACTGATGTAATAGTCTATGACTAACGTAAATCCGTTTTTGCACGTGAACTGCATCCCATTTATATATCGGCGTTGCCCGAATGTTTCGACGGCCTATTGAAATGGGTGTGTACGCTCCCGGTAAAATTTCTCACGTATCGTGTATCACGTACCGTACTCTAACGGTGCAATTACGTCAAAGTGTTTTGTCGTCTCTCGTTTATCATTTAATATCTCACGATATTATTATTTCAATAAAAAAAAAAAAAAAAAAAAAAGAAGAGAGAAATATGATTGTGCTCTACATATACATATCTTTCTTCGAAGAAATGAAGAAATAATTGAGAAACAAATAATTTTAATAAAGTGAGAATTATTTATAAAATATAGAAATTGAAAATTTGCTTGCCTCAGTTTTTCAGGAGAAAGTTGGTTACCTGAATTGACGAAAGAATTATCAGACACTGTCTAAAATTTGTCAATAGACTTTTTCGACTTTCACCACAATTTCTAACTAAATCTATGATGTAGTTTAGAACCAGTTTCGCAGAAACCACTTTTGAAACCCATCATGATATAACAAAGTGACACATATCAAAATTACTCGTTTCTTAACTCGTTACCCACCAATCTCATTAATTCTTTCCCATTTGTTCTTCAGAGAAGGACGTTTCTACGCGACGAACGCCGAAGCAAAGGTTATTTTTGTAACTTGGATACAGTCAGTTGCGATAAATAAAGTCTACGAAGCCCTAATCCAAGTTTGCTAGCGTGTTTCTTTCGCTTACGTAAGGCGGATCTTGATAGCAACTAGGCACGGTTTTCACCCGGGTGTACCACCGGCAGAAAGTGAGAGCTGAAAAAAGGATCAACAAGGAATTCATCCACTTTTATCCACTTTGATCCCCTCGTATTTTCTTGCTTTCAATTTTTCTCTCTTTCTTCAAAAAAAGAAAAAAGAGAAAATACAACGAGTGTGCAATCGATTGCACGGAAAATTAAAGAGAAGATGAGACAACAACGACGCGTGCAATAAACAACGATGATCGAGAAGGCGTGTATCAATGGCGTGGATCAACTTACGTGTTTAATATTCCGGTTTTCAATTCCGAGCGAACCTAGCCGAAAGCTGGTGCACGCAAATGGAGGAGAATAAAAATAAATGTTACTTAATCCGTGACACCGGATAATCATTGAGATCGTTAATTTTATAGCAATTTCAAAACAGGTTGAACGGTTACAAGGGATTGCGATCACGAAATGACGGAGGAAACCGGAGGCTGTGTGCAATTCTCTGTGTGTAATTAGACAACCGTGGATATTTCAATACGAATTACACGGGTGACAGTAGAGCTACGTAATTTCGTCTGGTTGCAAAAATCGTGTATAGGGAATAATGCAAATATATATTTGATAAAATTTCAATCGCGACTTAAATTATCCAGATAGGTTTAAAAAACAAACAACAAAGACTCTCATAATTTTTCACGAAACTGACGATCTGTTATTAACAAGATTCGCATAGAATTAAATGATCAATGAAGAAACTGAAACTCATGCAGCTCGATTCACGATCGAAGCTTTTAGAATATTTTCATTCTTGTATCTCGATGTATCTCGCAATATCTCGAACGCAATATTTTCCGATCGAAACGGAGGAAGGTGAAGTTGGAGGCACGACTCGAGAGAGGTCAGCAAGCAGGCATAAGCACGTGTGACGTCAACGGGACTTGTCCGATATTGAAATCTCAAACTCGTTTTTCTAGATCGATCGATCCGTGAATGCATTCGTTGCTGCGTGCCCGCACACAGATGCAGGAAACGTTGCACGCGAAATAAGGCGATATATATATATATATCCAAATCGTTGCATGCATTACATCGACGCGGAAACGATACGAAAGCAAAAATATAACGGATACGCAAATTAATGTACAATTGATCCCGAAAGAGAGATAATCGGGGCTACATAATAGCCATTGATTTCATATGTGTAACACGTAATATCGGAGGGAGGTTGTTCAAGCCTTAGGAGGAATTCGCTATATCGACAGGCGTGAGTCACGGGAGACCCGGCTATGCGAAGAATTTTGTAATAAGGAACGTGTCCCTATCGCGCAACTGCGGGATAGATTTGCCCTGGACCCCAAACATCGATAGAATATGTATATATTCCGAATCAAATTCTCGTTAAATAAATTAGCTTGTTAAAATGCTACTGGAACTGTATTACGTAAGTAGCAACGAATATCGATGGAATAGTAGAAATATCACTTGCGATCTGCTTTGTGAATTGATTGGAAATTAAGAGAAAAAGAAAAGAAAAAAACGATACATTTCTTTGCGAACGATTCGTCGATCGAATGAAGAAATGTTCTCGAGGAGGAACGAAAAAAAAAAAAAAAGAAAAATAGAGAAAAAAGTGGATAGCGGATAGGATTATTTGCATAGGCAGCAAGATGTAGATTGACAGATTTGCGTCGAAGGACTTGCTTGTGAAACGGCGATTTGCGGTGCAAATCGACGAGATCGTGACCGATAATAGGCACACGTTTTCTTCTTAATCGGCCAAGTTAGGTGTTCGATACGTTTACGATATTACGTCACGCTTTCTAAGTTTCGGTTCACTAACTGTCCGATGAACTTTTATCTTTTCTTTTATCGTCGTTTTGAAATAGGCCCGGCACCGTGTAAAATGTTACTAATTGTTATAAGAAACAATGACGGGTTAGAGCCGCCGCCGGTGACTTACGTCTAAAACTTCGTGTCGAAGATAAAATTGTCGTGTCTCGAATGCTGGTGCCGGATCGAGCTGGAACTGGATTTAAATTAAACTGTCTGTAACGCGATTGATACAAATTGTACTTGATAAGAATCGAAGTTTGCTGTACAAGGTGGATTAATGGTAAATGCGTTTTAAGTTGGTCCAGATAATGGAAGCTGATCGATGAATCATCTTGACGTTATGACATATTCGGAGTATCGTGATAATTTCAAGTTTAATTAAGGAAATAACTCGATTAATGTGATTAATAATCGTGAAGAGACATTTGAGATAATTATACCGTTTACTAGTTAAATATATATTCGAAGAATTATTGATATTATGAAATAATTTCGTAAAAAGTTAAAACACCTTATTGAATTAAATAGATAGAATAGAGTAAAATTATTATTTTTCACACATTTGATTATATATTCTTATCGAAAATTTTCACGCGCGTACAAAATTACACGGAAGATCAAAATTGGAAAATTGTTTGAGAATCGAGAAATATATCCCACCCGTTGGAAAAAAAATCGCAAATTTCCCGTCCTCGTTTCACTAATCGCTACTCATTTCTCTGTCCAACCGTGTGTTGCATAATTTCTCCACGATTTTCTATACGCACCTTTGATTTATGCAATTAATTACGAAATTAATTACACCCGCTCGATCCGTTCCAAAGTTCCCTATTCTCTCGAAAGATGGCAGTTTTTCTTCCCTTCTCTTTTTTTCTCTTCTCCTTACCTTCTTACGACACTTCGTCATCCAGATTCCTTTTTTTCCAGTCGTATCCCAAAAAAGAAGAAGAAAAAAAAAAAGAATTAGACGAATCGAAACTCTTGAAAATCTTCTCGATTTAACTCTCTTTCCAATCACTTGCCCAGATTTCTTACTTGCTTCAACTTTTTCCCCTTTTTTTACCTCTCCTTTCTACCAACGATTCTTCCTCGAAGACGTGTTCCACGAGAAAAGGACGATCGATGAGAAGAAAATTTTTTCAGAATTTCACACAAAAATTTTGTCACAAAAGTTTCGAATATATATATATGTATATATCCAGACCCGGAAAAGGATCCAGAGTGATCTCACGATCGCGCGTTTCTTCGGATCGAAATGGCGCAGAGGTATCCTCGTTAGAGTCGCGGAGCTGGGTCGAAATGCATGCGCACATACATATATGTATCTGCATAAAGTGGCCGCGTTCTATTTACTATAAGCCCCGGTACACGTTTCGCGTATGTTATACAACTTCCAATGTACATTATATATTATAATGTGTAACGGTATGTGGCTGTATCGTGGGTAAATAGTATATGGTAGGTGTGGCGATAGCGCACCGAACGGCCATTGGCTTTTCATTGGCGGGGTGTACGCGTGAAATGAAAGTGAATTCCCTATATAAAGGGTGGTTTTCCTCCAATGCGACAGAACCAATTTAATTTACCAGTCAAGACGCACTAGCCAAAGTATTAGCCGGTTACCATGAAGTCTCTGGTACGTTGCACACTTTTGAATTGCGCGTCGATACCCAAAGTTCCTCCCTTCTTTTTTCGTGATCTCGAGAATAGTGATTGAACGCAAGTAGTAGTAGTTGACAGTTTTCTGTGAAAATTTGGTGGAAATGGAGATTTCTTTTTTTCCTCATATAACTCCTTCGGGATAGAATTCTTCCAAAAATTGTTTTTTTTTTTTCATTGGTTAAGGTATGCTTGATGCTGATCTCCGTGGCGTTGGCCGCTGCGGAGGAAGATAAAAAAACGGTGGAAAAGCGAGGTCTGTACGGTTTGGGCTATGGTGGCGAAGGCCTGTACGGTGGAGAATTGGACCACGGAAAAGTGGCGATCGCCATCCAGGAGAAGCCTGTGGCTGTTCCGGTTCCAGTCCCGAAACCATACCCGGTCCCCGTTGACAGACCGTATCCTGTAAAGGTGAGAAAATTCTTAAAAGATGACTCTTCTTCTTTCTCGCGGTTAATAAATATTACGAATAATATATTTGTCTATTCGATATTAAAATAAACGCTTCCTCCAGATACCAGTCGCAGTCCCTCAACCAGTCCCAGTGCCGGTTCCGGTACCCAAACCGTACCCAGTAATACAAACCAAAACGATCGCGGTTCCCGTCGAAAAACCAGTTCCAGTCACGGTTCCAGTTAAGGTTCCAGTGCCTGTGCCTGCCCCATACCCCGTCAAGGTAAGTCAAAGGGATGGATCCCTGTGATTTCCCTTCAATAATTCAATTAATCGAGAAACGAATCGAACGCGTACATTCGTCGCTCTTCTTATAATCTTCCAGCTTTCTTCTTTCTTTTTCTTCTTTTCTTTTTTCTTGATGGATGGATTTTAACAGCTTTAAAATTTTACTTTATCAGGTACCAGTCGCTCATCCGTACCCAGTCGAAGTTCCCAAGCCAGTTCCAGTCGTCGTTAAACAACCAGTCCTCGTTAAGGAGCCAACTCCCGTTTTCCTTAAAGGATACGAATTTGGACACTAGATGAATTGATTCCCCCCCTCGATCTGCCATCTGCCCCGTCCTCGCCTAACTCACTCCCACCCCCTCCCCCCCCGCAGCATCGCAAAAGACATTATGACGAGAGCAGTACCAAAAGACGTTCTCCTTCATGGTAAATACGAATCATGCAATAAACCGATTTTATAAATGTTTTCTAAAGACACGTTCGTTATTTCTTTCTGACCTAACCGTCTTCTTCTATCCCTATCGATCTAAAAAATCGACCATCTGATAAATTTTTAATCGATCCATACTACGAAATATATTTTGTACAATATTACCGTGTGAGTAATATCGAGAAAAATTCATTCGACACTGGTCGAATCGCGTTGCGAAATTTTTCCAATATTCGCTCGAGTGTAGAGGATAGGGAATCGAGTTCGTTCCTTTTTCTCGCCGAAAGAAATATATGCTAATGCTGGTATATTTATACAGCGTGCGTATAAATTTGAATCGGTGTGACAAATATTGCGGAACGGGTCAGAAATATATTCGGAATCTATCGAGATACAAGGATCTCGGACGAGGATCGTGATGTTATTGGTTTCGCTCGATCCCCGTGTCGCATTGCCAACGGGTCAGGAATTTCTTCTCTGTATTAATTAATCCGCGGATAAAACGTGTTTCGACATTTCCTCGAGCGACAGACGCGTACTTCTGCGACCGCTATCTGATTCACCATTGTGTGGAAACTATCCACGAGCTCCGAGATCGTTCTCAAACCGAGCCTTGACTGAGATTTCGCGCGGTCTGGGAACCTCCCTCGTCATAATTTTCCTCGAGATCTCGCAACATTCTCGCGAAACACAACACGGGTCAACTTTTCTTTTGAATTTTCGTTTGACCAAGGTAATCTCTTCTCAAATTATCAAACAAATTGCGGAAAATTTTCGAAGAATGGAAGGAATGGAAGCGAGAATGCGAATGAATTTTTCATCCGATATGAAAAATTGTTTCTTCTTCCTCGTTTATTCTTCACTGCGATTAATTGAGGTTTCAATGTACACTCTCTGTTTTTAATAAGATAAGTTGCGTCCCTTAATTTCGAAGGAATTTTCTAGGGCCGAATTTCATCAAGTGTCTTCATTTTTTTAAACGAAGAATTTTGAATGAAGCGATATTGCTCAATATTTAATTTACGACTTTCTCACACGACTGAAATTTCTTTTTCGCTCGTAAAATTAAATATTGATCTGAAAAACATCGTCAAAGATAGCCATCAATGGTTCTAAATTACTTTCTTTTCGCAATTTTTTTGACGTTTGAGTTTCTTCGTGTTTCTTAAAAAAA